CTGTACTGGTACATGGTGTTGCTTTTCCCCAGATGCAAGACTCTACACTTGCCCTTGTTGAATTTCATCAAGTTTCTCCCTGCCCAACTCTCCAGCCTGCCCAGGTCTTACTGAATGGCAGCACAGCCTTCTGGTGTGTCAGCCACTCCTCCCAGTTTAGTGTCATGAGCAAACTTGCTGAGGGCACACACTATTCCCTCATTCAGGTCGTTGATGAAAATACTGAACAGTACTGGTCCCAGTACCGACCCCTGACAGACTCCACTAGTCACAGACCTCCAACCAGATTCTGTCCCATTGACCACAACTCTCTGACTTCTTCCTTTCAACCAGTTCACAATCCATCTCACTACCTGATCATCAAGACCACACTTCCTTAGCTTATCTACGAGGATGCTGTGGGAGACAGTGTCAAATGCTTTACTGAAATGGAGATAAACCACATCTACCGCTCTACCATCATCTATCCACTTAGTTACTTCCTCATAGAAGGCTATAAGGTTGGTCAAACATGACTTCCCCTCGGTAAAACCATGCCCACTGCTCTTAATGACCCCCTTATCCTTGATATGCCTAGAGATAGTGCCAAGAATAAGTTGTTCCATCACCTTTCCAGGGATGGAGGTTAGGCTAACCGGTCTATAGACACCCGGATCCTCCTTCTTGCCCTTCTTGTAGACTGGAGTGACATTTGCTATCCTCCAGTCCTCAGGCACCTCTCCTGTTGCCCACGACTTACCAAAGATGATGGAGAATGGCCTAGCAATGACCTCTGCCAGCTCCCTCAGCACCCACAGGTGAATTCCATCTGGACCCATCGATTTATGGATGTCCAGATTGCTTAACTGATCCCTAACCCAATCCTCATCTACCAAAGCAAACTCCTCCTTTATCCTGACTCCTTCTGGGGCTATAGGGATCTGGGGCTCCTAGCAAGAGTCATGATATAATTAACAATTAAGCTTAAAAATGTCTGTGACTTAATACATTCCAGTATTTTAATCCTGCTGATTTAAGGAGACAAACCCACAACTTATTTTTCACTGGCACAAAAATAAGCATATCTTTCCATTATACACAAACTTTAAATAATTGTCTGTAATTCCAAACATAATTTACACTTGTGATAACATTCTTATGGTGGAATTTTAAAAGTCAATGAAAGGCAAAGAGATACAGAACACAGCAAAAGATCAAAATAACTACTTTAACACACACTTCACCAACTCTGAAACTGCAACTTCCATTTTGCTTACATGAGCCTTAAAAAAAAGTTTATCTGAAAAAGAGCTGCAAAGTAAACCATCAATTTTAAGATCACAGAAGACTGATTCAGCCTCATTAAAAACAAACATTTCTTAATTGATAATTTTGAGAAAAAATACACTTCTATATTAAAAGTAAGCAATTGTATAGCTAAAACTGTTGTTTCATTTAATAAAATCCTGAAGTTGATAGACACTCCAACTTCTTACCTTACTGTATATGCAATTCAACAAAACAAACTTGTTAAGTTTTCTGTTTTAGTAGAAAAGGAAAAAATTAAGGATAGTATATTTTTATTGTGCAATTAAAACATGTTCTACACAAATTTCAGTTCTACATGGAAACATTTCCATCTTGTTTTCAGAAATCAAACTCTTTAATTATATGGTCTTGAGAGTCTTTTATTATCAGTGCAGCAAAGGATGTAACAGAGGCCAGTTCCACGTCACTGTTTTTTCCCTAGGAATCACTTAGAACAGGGCTGAATTGGCAAAGCTGTTTGGGCAACACTTCTCACAAAGTGCAGTTACCATAAAATAAGTAACCTTTTCTTTATTGTTCATTTGTTATAATTGTTTTACCTTACAAGTGTCTGTGGGAAAGAATCCTTTGTATCTAAAAACTGAAGGGAGAAAACAAGCACATGTCATCCTGGACACCTTTTTCTTCAATATGTGAATCCAGGCTGTTCTGACTATACCTATGGCCGGGGTCTGGCCAGTAAAAGGAGATCTGAAGAAGCCAAAGCATGGAAGATCATCTGATCAACACAACTCTTTTCCATGACATAGTAAAGTCAGAGACAGGCAGAACAAGAATTCAAATGTTATTACTTCACACTGAATACATTAGTTGATGTGTCAGAAAGACTGTGGCTCTAGCAGCAAACCAAAACAGTCTATGGATTTAATGGCCTGGGTATTTTTAGTGGATGAAAATGAAATTTGCTCCCTGTCACAGTTCTTCTGGAATCTACTGAGCAAATTACAGACTGGAACCTAGATGAACCAGGCTGTATTTGCAACTGCTGTTGGTTTGCTGAGCAGCTCTATGTAATTCACAATATGCACTGTCTCTCACTTTCCCCACTTCCAGGAAAACACATACAATGTTTCCTCCATGTGTCATAGCACTTTGACATAAACTGATGAGAAGTCCTGCACAATAGAAAAATCTTACAAGCTTGTGGATGCAATTCAGAACTGAGATCTTAAGGGGTCCAAAACCTGTCATTTCAGGTAAAAGTGATTTAAAGATTTAAACCACGTTCTACTTTCCTGATCTGGGTCTACAAAAAAATAAAGTTTAATCCACACACACCTATTCAAGAAAAGCAAGTGACAGTAACTTTTCACTGCTTTATTATGAGTAGTACCCCTGACCAAAATAATTACAAATTCTCCTGCTTGTTTCTTGTACTAGAATTTGCAAATATGTCCTTGAAAATATTCCACAGCTTTCCTTCTTGCCTCCTCTACCAGGAAAAAAGTCTTTCCCAGTCAGGTCCGTTTCAGTTTGTCTACAAGAATACAAGTCAGCCAAGTCTTCTCTACATTGCACTCCCCAGATGCCAAATCGACACCAAGTTCTGGGGTCTCTGTCTGACAGACAGCCCTCTGAGCAGACATTTGTTTGCTGAACTGCTGACTTGCACAAATTATGTTACAAAAAGACCTAAAGTCTTCAGATTGACTTAAAGGATGTTCATTCTGTAGGAATAACCAAACTGCCTAAACACAAGTGTGCAATGCCATCAGTGTTCACAGTGGCACAAGACACTGTCTTAAGGCATATGAATCCTACCCTCAATTTCACTAATGCTTAAGATTCAAGTTTCAGACAGAGTTACCTAATCTTGGGTGCAGGAAATGGTCCAAAGATCCTTAAACATCTCCTGGTACCAGCTCTAAGAGGAAAAATGCAACACTTACTGGGCCATACCTCTAGAATAACTTCCAAAAATTCAGCCCCAAGCTTCTGTCCTTGGCTCCTGCTGTTCACTCTCTTTCTGAGACTCTTTATGCGGTCTGTATACAACAGCAACAACTACACCACTAACCTCTTTCCAGTCTCCTCTCAACAGAGTAGCCATGTATTTTTTCCCAGATTTATTATTTTGGAAGGGAGCTTACCTTAATCCCTATCCCACACAACCTTGAACAGAAGGACTTCTCTAATTGTTGCTTCACCAGGCTCCCATACAGAACATTTTTCTTCAGCTTCCAGCTGTGTTTTCTGGCCCCAGATCCCACAAGTCCTTGTGGTTTTCTGATTTTGTTTAACACTGGATAAAAAGTCGATTATTTGGGACCCATGGTAATAAATCAAGAAACATCAGTTCAGAAGATGAGGGTTTGTGGCATCAGTGACCACCATGCTACATCCTGCTATGATTTCCTGCTATGACAGCACATTATGTAAGAAAAATGGGTCAAACCAAAGAGCACCAGAAGCTTTCTCCTTTAGCTAGCCCTAGAATGAAAAAAGTACTCTTCTCTGCAAGCTAGCTAGGTCACCAACTTTTCTGTTTAAGCAGTAAGAAAATTCTAATTTCTCATAACAGACTTCCAGGATATGGCTATAAAATCATCCTACAGCAGACCTAGTTTGTGACAGCTTAAAGACAAAAAACCTAGGGTTTTACATAATTCACGCTGATCTCAACTTTTTTTTTTTCCATGGACTCCAACATAACCAGCAGACTTTTCTACCTTGTTTTGTATACAGTTAAAACTAGTCTTAAGTAATCTCTCAAAGGAACTAAGCATTAATACTTCCATAGAAAGTTAATATAAAAATATGTACAATATGTCACGATCAGCACTCCTTTTAATACACTAGGTTTTTTTAGAATGCCTTCATTTACTGACCTTGTAAAATACAGACTTCAATAAAGAAAAGCATGACAATGTTCAGTGTACTGAACTGTACACCATCTGTAGCATTGAGGTATTACACAGGAAAGAATATCCACAAGCTTTGGCATGAAATAGAGATGAACGGTGCCATAGCGAGCAAAGGATGGGAGGCACAGAGACTTCTGGCAATGCAGTGAGATAGGACTAACCAAAGACAATTTTTACACACATGAAAACAGAAGAGAGGGTGGCCTACATAACTGCACTGAGGGAAGCGAGATTAAAAACAGGCACTTGCAATAAGCTTCTGTTGTGAACAATACACCAAGTGCCAAGTGTACACACAGCAAGCACTACTTTCTAGTTGTTAATGGAAAAAAAATATCTTACTAATCTACAGTTTGGAAGGACAGTTGAAAACAAAAACTCAGTTCACAGTCTAGTCAGAAGCTCCTCACAACAAACTACCACTCAATTGCTACCAAATTCAATAAGGTCAGACAGTGTATCACAGAGAAGATACTTCAATAATAATACTTTTTAGTAACTGCAACTTTCAACACAAGTGCTGTACTGTAACTGGTTCCAGCAGACATTTCAGCTGTACTATCACTCACTGAGTTATAAACTCCAAGGTCTGACTGGGGTCTGTTCATAGAATCATAGAATTATTCAGGTTGGAAAAGACCCTTGGGATCACCAAGTCATAACTAGTATGACAGACAACGGATACCAAAACAGGTATCAAAATGTATGAAAAGAAACTGATTTAAGTAAGTTCTAGCACACAGCTTTTAAAGGTGGGGGATAAAAAGAACAAAATGAGAATAAACTCTGTCTGATTCTATTGTAAATTATAAGGACAATTCAACTTACTCTTTTACTGAGGCAGATAACTGGCCACATACTACAACCTAAAGTGCAGCAGCAGCAAAGGCATCCACATAGTAGCCATCGTACATTGACTGGAAGGTTCTTCTTAAGACAACTGTTAACTCTACTGATGCTGGCTTTAAATTCTTCAGGTGCAACCTACAAGAGGGAAAAAAACCCAAACAACTAATACCACAGCAGTGCAATTTACTACTCTTAAAATGGTCTCTACCTGAAGCTCTCCATTTTGTAACAAAATCTTAACTCTAATTTCAAATTCCTATTTGCAGATACTCACCTTTCCAGTTAAAGATGAAGGAAATTCTGCTTCAAATTTGTTGCTTAGTCCAAACCTGCAAAAACAAGTAATATCATACCAAAATTATAAATAACCTCAATCCATGTAACAAGTTGTAAGCATCTCATAATATGTCTCAGGTTTCACATCACAACTGCATTGATTTCAGGAAAAAATAGTTGTCATTAGAAGTAGCTTCTAAAATTATCCTAACAGACAAAAGTATACCATTGTACACAGTTAGAAATCCATCTTACCTATAGTCTCCTTCAGAGAGGTCCAGAATAGTTACAGGGCATGGACCTGCCCCAATCACATACCATGTTTCTCAGGTAACTACTCTAGAAAAGTTGGGGGCTACTACCCGGGACTTCACCTGTCTCCAGAAGAAACCAAAATGCTTCTGGAGATGCCTGGGAGTACTAGGCAGCTACCATGCATGGAACCACCTCTAACATTGACAGAACACCTCAGGTAGCTACCTTCTTGCAGTTCTGTTGACTCTTCCCCAAAATCAGCAAAATCTGTATAAGCAATAGAGGCAAGCATGAAACGTGAAGACAAGCACTTAACGGGAGAGGGGAAGGAAGTTAATACCTCAGTTTGAATTACATCCCTCCTCCACCAGTACAGCTATATTTTGAAGAAAAGCTCATCTAGTGCTATTCCACTCAGCCTATGCTAAATAGCCATTCTAAGCATAAAAACTGAATCAATACCAGCTCATTTATTCCTTTAAAAATACACTACTAAGTTTCAGAACACAAAATACTACCTAACAAAACATTATTTAAATTATAACTAATCTGAAAGAAATGTACCACTTATGAATGTAAAGGTATGAAGCAGTTTGAGAGGAGCTGACTATTCTGGGTTTCAGAAGATCTGAAGATTAAGAGTTTTACCTTGTCTATAAAAAAACCACTATTTTCTGTCTTATAGTTGGCTGGTTGGGTTCATAAACCGATGAACAAAGAAAATTGGAATATTTTCTGGCATGTGTTCCGGGCCATGATTTCTAATAGGGACTATACAGTCTAGCAAAGCCATTAATAAAACTGTTTGACTGGCTACTAATTTGGCAAACAGCAGTCAGAACAAAATTTGTCACTAATAACCTTTTGAATACAAAACAAAGCAGTCTTACTATCAGATACTACAAACAACACAAATTATAAGTTAAACTCCTCAATACTTGAATATTGGCATCAAGACCTACCACACACAATGCAGTTGTATGCAGAAAATCTTACCTGAGCCTTGATAGTTCAAGAATTTAAAGGCACAATTTGCTTTGACAGTATGTTTATTGAGCAGCTAAGAATTTCACAGGGTTGCTTGTTTTTTTTTTCCTAATTGAACTGAAAGATCTACATGCCAATGAAGAACTTTGCCCAAGTAACCAAATGGACAGTTAAGTGCTCTACCAATGGTGAATCACTCTGCAAGGACCTCACAAAACCCAGTGGATTTAAGGCAGCAGATGAGCTTCTGTGTAGATAAAAGGTGCTAAATCTTGGGAAAGGTCATCTGACACTGAACTGAAGTTCGGCAGCTACAGTTAAGGAGAGAGATCTTTTATCACCATTCATCATTATCTTGCAAGCAAGCAACAGCCACCAGAAATAGCAGTACAATACTGGGCACCACTAGAAAGGTGATTAAGAACACACAGAGGGAATAATTTTGATTCTCCATAAAACCCTCACATACCCACTTGGTCAGTACTGGGAGAAGTTTGGCATCCACATTTCATGGAGGACTTGGTAGCGATAAAAGAGAGAAGGAAAATTCATATAATCAATGGAATAAAGCATCTGCCTTAGGAAACTAACAAGGCTGATGCTAACTTGGAAAAGAAGGCTGAGTGGGGTATATGATCAAAGTGCAAAGATTCAGGAAGAAAGTGCATGAGGTGAATGATTAACTGTTAATCACCAAACCCCACAACAGAGGGCACTCACTGAGATTGATTTAAAACAGATAAAAGAAATTGCTTCTGTAAATTGCAAGTCACAAACCTGTGGGCTTGTTTCCACTTGAGATTAGTGATCAGACTGTACCAACAGATTTGAAGAGATTACACAAATTCCCTGATAAATGGGCACTATAGGAAAGGAGATGTTGAAGTATCATCACTTCACACAACTGCAAATGCCAGAGAGTACAAGGACAATGGACATCAGCAGCAGCTACACTAGCATGCAGCCCGTAAATAGCAATGCCTTTTGCCACAGTTTGCAACAGCACACTGGGCTAGTTTACTACTTTGATGCTGCAGGTGATTTTTAAATACGGCCTTAACAAAAAGTAAACATGTCAACTCTCTATCATTGACTGTAGGCAGTAGAATAATAGTTAAACCCTGACTGAAACACAGAATAATTTGGGTTGGAAGGGACCATCAAAGATCACCTAGTCTTACACACCACTCACTAGGTGATCAGGTTGCTCAAAGACCCACCCAACTGGACCTTGAATGCTTCCAATAACGGAGCATCCACAACTTCTCTGGGCTATCTGTTCCAGTGTTCCTCCATCCTCTTCATAAAACAATGTCTTCCTTATGTACAACCTAAAAGTACACTCTTT